TGAAAAATTTTTAACAACCTTTTTACTTATTGTATTTATATTTTATAAAATTAAATGATAATAATTAATGTATAACAAATTAACTTTCATAATTTTTTAATTAATTATAAAGATGAATTAAATTAGGTAGATTTTTATTTGGTTAAAAATGTAATTATATATATTATTATAGCATATGTAATTTTAAAAGGATAAATGCTAATTTTGATTCCTCAATTTTAAGATTTTACATAATTTTTGTCCCTTATCTTTTTTTTTTGCTCATTTTGGTCCCGCAATTATGAGTAATTTGCATTTTTAGTCCTTTTATCAATGTGCTAAAGAAACTTAATTGACAGAAGAACTAAAAATGTACATTATTTATAGTTGAAGGACTAATATGAGCAAAAAAAAAGTTGAGAGATGAAAATTGTGTAAAATCATAAAGTTGATGAACCAAAATTGATATTTATGATTCTAGTGCCTATTATATAATATTAAGATATTATTGAATTTTTTAAGGCACATACTACTTAATTATGGGAGAAGATCGGAGTTGGATGTATCGTCATCGAGATGAAATGGGGTATTGGAACAATGAATTTAACGCTGGGGTAAAGATTTTCTTAGATTTTGCATTCTCACAAATGGACTCGATGTTTTGTTCAAAGAATATGATTCGGTGTCCGTGTAGTAAGTGTTGGAATAGAGAATGGCATCATCGATGCAAAGTGCAATCTCATATTATTAAGAACGGCTTCATGGATGGGTATTTTATTTGGAAAAGACACGGAGAAATTATTCATAAAAAACGGCATTACACCCAAGCGAGTGCATCATTAAGTGTCGCTGTTGCTGCTATGAATAATGTTCCAAGTATTGATCAACTCAGAGACATGCTTCATGATGCCATGGGACCAAACTTTTTTAATAATGAAAATAGTGCCACAGGGGTAGAAGATGCAACACAATTTCATGCTAGTTTTGATGATCCATATGGTGTCAATACAGAATTGATATTTGAGGAGCCAAGAGGAGATGCAAAAGAGTTCTTTGATCTTTTGCGAGCAGCTGATACACCTCTTTTTGAAGGGTGTGATGATGGTGTCATTGTCTTAAAGTGGGTGTGTGAGCTCATGAGTGCAAAAACACTTTTTAACATGATTGTTACTAATTGGGACTATGTGTCAAAGCGTAATCCAATGGCCTTCAAAAAAGTTGATAAGGAGAAATTGCCAACAAATTATTATAGTGCCAAGAAGATGTTGAAGCGTCTGGGTCTCAAGTATAAAAAGTATGATGTTTGTGTGACCAATTGCATTTTGTATTATAGAGAATATGAAAGTCAGTGTTATTTACAGTGTCCAGTATGTGAAGAGCCACGATTTAAGCAGCGTGATGTGCATTCTGCTAAGCCTATACCAAGAAAGTCTTTGTAGTATCTTCCAATTATTCCTAGACTTCAAAGATTGTATATGTCTAGGAAAACTGCCAAGCATATGACCTGGCATTTAAATTGTTATAATGAAAATGAGAAAATTTTTCATCTTGCATGTGGAGAGGCGTGGAAGCATTTTGATAGCACTCACCTTGAGTTTGCTAGTGAACTGAGGAATGTTAGGTTAGGTCTGTGCACTGATGGTGTCACGCCCCAGAACCCAAATCCGAGGTGCGACAGACGCCGTGCACTCGTGAGACGGGTCCCACAAACGCACAAGGCTCGGAACTTATTCAAATCCAAAACTCTATTCCATAATCTATGTCCAACATGACTTAAACTTAAAATCACAAGGTAAAATCTATCTTACAAAAAACATGATTTATTTCTAAAATCTATATCAATCTCGAAATGGCTAGCCTTCTAACTCATCACTTCCCGTGGTTTCCGTGTCTCGAGTCATACTACCTGAAATGGTGGACAAGGAAAAATCTTGAGATAAAATATCTCAATAAGTAAATGTATGGATAGCCCGTGGGTAAAATTTGAGCATTTCAGATAAACAGTTTAAACATAAACGGAATGCTCAACGATAACCATTATGCAGAATAAAGTTCAGTAGTAGTCAATTAAACTTATAGCATGCCAACAAGTGTAATCGGAAAACGGATACAAGTACGGGAACGAAATAGACGTCTCCTCTATAGGTCATGGCCAGTGTTTAAACCTCCCACTGGCAGGCAACAAAAATTACTAGTGTTTAACTCCCACCAGTAGGATTACAGGAATGAACCGGTTCTATCAGAAACATGTCGACATGTGCTAGCGTTTGACCTCCCACTAGCGGGCAACAGAATAACATGACCGTATCGGAGACAAAACAGGCAGAAGTTAACAGAAAATCTTGCTTTACTAATCACTTTCAAATCATCGGGACAATCGATTAAATTTCAAGTAGGCATGCTCAATTTAATGAAAAGCATAAAACTTCACTTCAAATCAGTCATACTTACTTTTGCATAAAACGGGTTTAGTCCTGCCAACACTTCAGAAACAAGTCAAAACATCTTTTAAAAACAGTGCGGGCATTACCATAAATTTACTTACCTCACTCGCTTAAAACCAAAGGCTCAATTCACGGTGCTAACTGGCAGAACGATCGAGAACCTAATCAAAACACCTCAGAATTAATACTGGACTATCACAAATTCAAGCTGAAATCATCATGACAAATCCCTAATCACGATATTATTCCTATCAATCTCCACATAACCGGACCTCTCCAAATTTATTCTTATATCACAAACTAATCATTTAAATCCACGTTAATTATTGACCCTCGGTGTGTGAACAGTGTCGGTAAACAGTACCCCGACGTGAACAGTAACTCCACTTCCACCAATTGGCCAAAACACCAGCTAATCTCACGGGATTTTCTCCAAAAATCACACAGCAATCAACTCAAGCAATTTACACTTAAATTAAACAAAAACCCACTTGAATTAGTACTTAAATCTCATCCTAAAGCTACCGGAATTATCCCCATTTTCTACAAAATTTCGGACACACACAAGGCAGCAAACAAATGGATAATTTAAGCCTTAAATGGCTGTCAACATACCATAATTCTCCAGCTAAAACCGGAGCTGCAGGGGGAAAAGGCCGACGGCATGTGCAGGGGAAATTCTGGGAAAATTACCGAAAATTCAAGAACCAAAAGGGAATTAAGGTAAACCCAAGCCCAAATCAAAGCTAAAGAGATAATTTCATGGCTGCTTCTTACCAAGAAAGACCGAAAATCACAGCCACAAGCAAGAGCAGCCGGCGGACAGGGGAGGAAGAGGAGAGCAGATCCGGGAGCTTCCTGCAGGGGGGGAGATTTCTGGGTTCTAAATCAGGTTCTTGGACAAGAAAAGAAGGGAAAAATCTAAGCTTTTACCGGTTTTCCTCAAAAACTTGTTGCCGACAGCTTGGGGGGAATTTCGGGAGCTGCAGCGGAAAGAAGAAGAGCAGAATCGGGAAATGGCTGGGGAAGAAAAGAAAGAAGAAAAAGAAAAGAAAAAGGCTGATCCTTATCCAATATCTTTACTCTTTTAAGCCCCTCAACTTTCAAACTTTGGCTATTAAGCCCAAAACAATATTTCTTTCTCAAACAAGTCCCTAACTCACTTTAATGCTCTAGAAATTTTGGGGTATTACAGATGGGTTCACTCTTTTTGGACATTCTACATCTCCATACTCTTGTTGGCCAGTATTTGTGTTAGTTTATAACCTGCCTCCAACAATGTGCATGAAGCAAGAATATGTATTCATTTCATTGATTATCCAAGGTCCCCAAAGTCCAGGAAAGAATATTGATGTAATGCTTCGACCACTAATCAATGATTTAAAGCAGTTATGGTATTCTGAAGTCCAAACTTATGACAGCTTTAGGCGTCAATATTTTTTTATGAGGGCTGCACTTATGTGGACCATTAGTGACTTACTTGGGTATGGAATGTTGTTTGGGTGGAGCACACATGGTAAATTAGCTTGTCTCTATTGCATGGAAAATTTGAAGGCCTTTTGGTTGGAACACGGTCGGAAGACATCATTTTTTGATTGTCACCGACAATTTTTGCCACCAGATCATCCATTAAGAAGAAACAAGAATGACTTCATAAAGGGTCGTACAGAGAATGGAACAATGCCAGAGAGATTGTCTGGTGATGAGATACATAGTCACATCCATTGGCTGCCTGATGTACTATTTGGTAAGCCACCTCAGAAACAGGAAATCCACGGATTTGGTGAAATGCACAGTTGGGTTAAAAAGAGCATCTTTTGGGAATTATCATATTGGTACACAAACTTGATTCGACACAATTTAGATGTCATGCACTGTGAAAAACTTTTTTGACAATATCCTTCATATAGTAATGGATGACCCTATGACAAAAGATAACATATATGCAAGACTTGATCTAGAATTGTATTATAAAAGGAAAAGTCTGCACATACTGAAAATAGGAGTGAATTCGGGTAAAAAGCCAAAGGCCACTTATGTTCTTAGTAGGGATCAAAGAAAATCAACATGTCAATGGTTGAATGAACTTAAATTCCTTGATGGATTTGCCTCCAATATATCTCGGTGTGTCAATACACAAAAGGCACAATTATTTGGTATGAAAAGTCACGACTGTCACATGTTCATGCAAAGCCTTATACCAATTGCATTTCATGATTTATTACCGAAACAAGTTTGGAAGCCACTTGTTGAGATTAGTGAGTTATTTAGGGCCTTGTGTGCTCCGGTGATTCAGGTCAATGACATGGCAATATGGCAGGAGAGGATAGTAGAAATCATTTGTAAGCTAGAGCGAATCTTTCCACCTTCATTCTTTGACATTATGGAGCATCTTGCAATCCACCTTCCATACGAGGCTCGTGTAGGAGGACCAGTGCAATTTCGATGGATGTATCCATTTGAGAGGTAAATATAATTAATGTATAATATATGAAAATAAATATAACTCCATATATGATTTTTTGTTGCATTGAGGTTAGAATACCAATTTGGTACTTCAACTTTCAATTTTATATCAAAGCTACCATTGAACTTAAAAAAGAATTAAAAATGGTCCTTTCAAGGACCATTTTGAAACTTTTTAAAATTTTAAGGGTATATTTGATATAAACTTAGAAGTTGAGATACCAAATTAGTATTTTAATCATAACATAATTATATAATAATTCTTGGTGAATCAGGCGAATGCATTGTCTTAAGTTGACAATGAAAAACAAAGCGCGTCCTGAAGCATCAATATGTGAAAGTTACACAATGTCTGAGATCACAAATTTTATCTCTCATTACTTTGATGATGGAGTACATAGTATAGTTGATAATCCCCCTAGGAGTATTGTTGTTGGATTTGGTGATAATAGTGGCCTATCCATTTTTAAATATGTTGGAAAACGTATTGGTTCCAAAATTGGAAGACGTTGCTTGACGGTAGAGGAACAGAAAGCTGCTTCGTATTATGTGTTAATGAATTGCGAAGAATTACGAAGAATTGCGAAGAATTGCGAGAATGGGTCAGGTAAAAAACCTACACTAAAATCTTTAATTTGTTATATTAAGATTTATTGAAATTAAACTACTAACAATATATAAAAAACTATTATCATATTTTCTAGTTTATTTGAGAGAGAACAATGTCAAATATAAATCCTCAACAAATTCAAGCAAAACGAGAGAGAGACCTTGTGCCCTGGTTTGAACAAGCTGTGAGTATTTAATAATATGACTATTCAATTCCTTAACATATACATGTTATTTCTCTTCAAATGCATCTAACATTTTCTTCTACAATCTATATATTTTAGGTAATTACTGATGAGTTCATTAATGTCCATGAACATATCAAAGGTTTATCCAGTGGTCCAAAAAATTATGTTTCTTGCTATAATTGATATATTGTCAATGGATTCCGATTTTACATTGCCCTCTAGGGTAGAAATAAGCGAACAATGAATTATGGTGTCTGTGTTGTTGGATCTATTGGCATTGAATTTGATTATGATTTTTATGGTGTGCTTCAAGAAATAATTCAAATTGAGTATTATGGATCGATCCATCAACAGACAATTGTTTTATTCAAATGTGATTGGTACGAGATTCCTCCTGCTCAAGGGGTTCAAGTGGATCAAAAACATCGATTGGTTGACATTAATCCTAGAAGATACCTTCAATCTTATGAGCCTTTCATTCTTGCTAGTTAGGCAAGGCAAGTTTATTACACACCATGCCCATCTATTAATCATGAAAGAAGGGGATGGATTGCTGCACTTAAAACTAAAGCTAGGAGTATCATTGAGGCTCTTGAGAATAAAGATGACCAAAAAGAAGGATTGATACCATATTTCCAAGATGATGAGCCTCCTATTCCTCAACAAATAAATATTGATGACATTGCTTATGAACCTGTGCAATATTTTGATGGGAGGTTTATTGAAATACATGAAGAAGTTGATGCTGGGGAGGGGATTGGGGAAGAGGATGAAGAAAGAGAATGGGAAGATTTTGAGACATCAGAAGAAGAAAACATAGAAACATATGTTGAGGAGAATGATAGTAGTGATGAGTAGGCAATAATATTGAAACTATTGAAACTTATTATTATATTTATGGTTACCACTTACTTGTCTATACTTTTATAATTACATTAGTTGTATTATATGTTATTTAATTTAAAATTGTATAACGTTAATATCACTTTCAAGTTAATATTTGTTTATTTATATTTCTATAAGTGTATTAGTTGGAATAAAATTTATATGTTTATATTTTTATCATATTGTTAATTTTATATTTTTTTGTTAATATTTATATA